AAAGTAAACAGCCTTTGTTCTTCCTCTGGAGTCGTTTTACTTTTACAACATACACTCGACATCTGTGACAACACGAACGATCATAAAAAACCTTTACTGATTTGTCTCGTTTCCAATAGCCGTTAAATCCACGGCCGTGTCGTAAATCATCCCACGGTAGTACCGTGTTATTGTGTCGGCCAGATAAATGTGGACCACAAGGTCGAAGTCTCTCCCGTGATTCTAGTACAATCAACTTTCCCCTACATGGAACCCTGGCCGAAACACTCGGGTTATTAGAATGTTGTTACTTTTTTTTATAATCAACGGCCAACGCAGCATCAAGAGCGTTTAATTACCAGTTAGGTCAAGATATTATGTATAAATATGTTTTAAAAAGTACTTAAATAAATACTGCAAACGTGCCAGTGATAGTAACGTTTACAAAGTGATTAGTAATTGTTTTCTTGTCATGTGATTGATGATGGAACAACCAGTTCTGCCAGGATTAACTATTGAACCGGACCGGAAGTGCACCTGTGTCTTTCCATTACACCACAAACAGGGCGTTTTATTAGCCTGCAGTGACTGACGTTGAATAACGACACACAGTGATTTTCCAAACAAACTGCGAGCATCCAATTTGACATGTGAGGGTTTTTTTTAGTTTGGAAAAAGAGATGGGAAGAGACGGGATCGTGGAAGAGTCAGTGCTGTAACGCCCTCTTCTGGTACACATGGGATCCACAGTCAATACTTCGGCATCAGTACTGATGAGACGATCATGTCTCTTCAACGTCACGTCAGTTCTGAACATTAAAAAAAACAAAACAATTTGACCCCAGTAAATTTTGATGACGTCATCCGAATCATATCTTTAAATAAATATTTTTTTATTTAAATTAAATATTTTATAATAAAAAGTCTTCACTCCCCGTCACTCTGTGCTTCCTGAATGATGCCATAAAAATGCACAAAAACTCGGCCACAGTTACTGAAGCGGTCCCAAAAAATTTAAGAAAAAAAAAAAAAAGAACCTTCTGCTGTAACTCAACACAAATCCTGCGGATGCTGCACAGGATTGGACTTTGTTTGTTTGCATGTTAATCAGCTCCAATTTCAACCTCAGAACAGAACACCGCGACCCTGACCTGCAGCGACCAATCGGAACGAAGGGACAGTTTAAGAATAATTCTAAATGTGTGATCTTGAATTAAAAAAAAGTTCAAATCCCAAAGTTTTATGGTCATCGCACCAAAATTTAAATTTTTTTTGATTGTGTATTGACTTCAAGATCGGACACTCAGCACCAGAAATACTGATGATTTATGATTTATCTTTCACCTACTCTTATTTAATTTTTTTAGTTTCAAATTCACCTTGGTTTGACCCCGGTCAGGGTTGGGTTTCACAACCGCACCACGTCTTAAACCCTACATTATACATTAGTTCAAATCCCATGACCTGACGCTGACTTCTCTGAACTGTCACCGTGTTTTCAGGCCTAGAAATGTTCTCATTTAAAAGGCCGCCTCACTGTGATGAGGATTTGAAGCAGCGTAGCCAAACCTCAGATGTATTTTACTGCCAGAACACGGAGAGCGAGCTCCTCCCGACTCCTTTAATTCTGCTCATCTCACATAAAAGTCTGGCCGGACTCTAATTAGAACAGTAAATTCTGCCGCGGCTCCACGGAGAACACGCTGTTCTGTTAACATTTCACACCGACATTCTTCCTCCAGTCAACGGCCGGCGTCTCGGCCTAAATTTCTGTCATTCCTGAATGTCCACACCGTCCATACGTCTCCTGATAAGGACACAACTGACACAAAGGCTGGGAACAATGGCCGACGCTGCTCTCCAAACAAGGAGAACGTTGCACGATTCTCTGTTTACACCCAGGACGTGACCTTTGTTGTCTTTTATGTAACGCCGTCAGGTTTCTTGAAAAAAAAAAAAATCTTGGTCTTTGGTCAAACAACAAGCTAAATTTGGTCGGCGCGGCTCGAGGGGCTTTACAGTACGGATTCCAAACATCGGAAAAAGCTTGTTGCTCCACGACGTAGAGCAGCTTAAGCTGATTTACAGCAAAGCTGATGTGACAATAACACGCTGGGCTCTGGGTTTGTGTCAGGGTTTTTATGTTGTCATTATTGGCTTAACGATACGTCGGTTCAGACGCTCCGAGAAAGACAAATATTTACATATTTTACAGTATAAAGGTATGTCTGTGTGTGAGAAGGGGGGGTGAATGGGGGGGGGGGCTGACTCTGGACTCTACTATCACAGAACACCAACACAGAATTATTGGACCCGTGTCTCCTGATTGGCTGGTCTGGTCTAAATTAAAGGATCTCGACAGACGACGCCCCCCCCCCCCCCCCCCCATGTCCAGCAGTCTCACAGCCCACTCAGGGTCCGGCGTACATGTTCTCAGATTGAGAAACCACAGCAGCGTTAACTGTGCGACCGCAGTGGCAGAAAATTCCACTGTGGATTAATGGCTAAGCCCTGAATTCCACGCTCCCGTCATTAAAGAGAGCGTTTCCCTCCACACTGAGAGTCTTATCGTTACGGAGACACGATTATACACGACTACTGTGAGGCTAACAGTTACAGTTACTGTTACAGTGGCAGCTGTAAGACACCAGGGGGCGCTGTACTTCCTATAAAAGTTTTCATTAAATAAATGGTCAAATTACTCAATTACTAACAAAGTGATCAACAGTGACCAATAACACAGTCTTTCACTTTTGGTAGAGTGTATTAAACCCTGCTGAAGCTCAGCTTCAACTGTCCTCTGTGGAGCAGTAGTCAATCGTTTACGTTACTGTTGTCTATATATGCTAATTGGATGTGATGTCGTGATGCACTGATGACAAGCATACAAATTTTGCTGATTCAGCTCCTCAAATGCTACATCGTTAGCTTCTTTGACCTGGGAAGTACTTTAAAGTACTTCCAAGAGAACAACATGCTAGCTTTAGCTTGTGAGCGTTAGAAAGGAGTACACAGTCGGACCAAGTGGAAACAGAACCACTTTTTTTTATTGACAACACTTTCGAAAAAACGCACCTGAGCATTTTGTGTCAGTTCTAAGCGCTGCCTGTTGTTTGGGGTTAGCCTGTTGATGTAGATCATTTTAATTTGTATTTATACTTGGGAGGAAATTCTGGATTTTCTTGTTCCACTTCTGTGTAATAATCGTGTTTCTGTTTTTTATGTCCTGGTTGTTTGTTCATTTTTGTCATTGTTCACTGTTATCATGGAGTTTATACTGAAATAACTGGGCCTGAAATGAGCGTCTCCTGTTTCACACAGCACGGTTTAAATAGGTTTAAGGAATAACAACTGTGGCTTCTGGAGACAAAGGAACCCCGCGGTTGTGTCTCAGCTGCACGGCAATTTCACATTTTCCATTTGGGCAAAGTTTCCATCTATTTTTTTTTTTTTTTCCATTTTCTATATCATACGGTTCTATTTATGCAAAGAACCATCTCTTCACTGTAGATCAGAACTGATTGGCCAATGACTTTGTCAAGTCTGTCACAACATGTAATTTGTGATTTGTGTAGAGCCTTTTGCCAACATCAACCACCTGGCGCTGTGGCTTAGTTGGTTAAAGCGCCTGTCTAGTAAACAGGAGATCCTGGGTTCGAATCCCAGCAGTGCCTTTGTTGTAATCACCCAGCCCTGGATAAATACAGTATATCTATTGATCTACTAGATGACAACAATGTTTTGGTTGGTTGCATAGTGTAACAGTTACCACGCCTGACTTGGAAGCAGTCATGGGTCCAATTCCCACAGGAACCACACACTTGATAATGTTAATCCCCATCCTGTTAGTTGCTTTTGATAAAAGCGTCAGTTAAATGCGTAAATGTACGATATGCCGATATTGTCCAAACACTTAGTTTCCGATTTCGATATCAACCGATACTCATATAGTGGGACAGTGGTGGCCTGGTGGTTAAGAGGTGCCGGCTGCTGACTGCTACAGTGGTGGCCTGGGGGTTAAGAGGTGCCGGCTGCTGACTGCCGTGCCCCCCCTTGCGGACAGATGTTTTTTCCCCCCCGACCTCACAATGCTGCCATCTGGTGACTTTCACTTTAACATACAGCCATTTTTCCCCCAAACTATTTATAGGTCACACATCATTTGCCGAAGCCTAGGCATTGCGTTATAGGGTTTTGATTATCAGAGGAAAAGTTGTTAACGATTCTTACAGATATTACATAATTATGCTAATATCGGGTCTATGTTGGCTGACATTATCGGACGTCTCTAGTTTAAACAGAAGCTCATAAACAAACAACACTCAATCCTTGTTACAAAATTAGCTCACAAAAAAATACAAGCCTTCTTTGAAAAGTATGTATTTTTAGCAAAAATATAACATGACTCATGGATTTATGGTAAAGCTAGCTCTACGGAGTCGGGCTGGGTGGAGCTCGGTGATGTGGCACTAAAGCACACTAGGCCCATCCTGGAAATAGAACCTGGCCTCGGTCTGTGGCCTGGCCTCGTGCACTGGCAGTGTTTAAACAGCAGGTTGTCCAACACGCCACCAAATCTGCCAGCAGTGACTAAGCAGCTGAAGTAGCTGACTGAAGCAAACGCATCACATTTCAGTGTGAGGCACACACACACACACACACACATACACACACACACCACAGCACAGAGCGACAAAGAAACTGAGAGCTGCTGTGATTTTTCACACAACTCTGCATGTAAGGAAATACTTCGCATCAAGCTAAAATAACATTATTTAGCTGTTTTTCCCAAATGAAAACACTGCATCAATAGATTCACAGTCAACTCTGTCGGATTCTACGGCTAGTGCTGTGTATCGGCATGAATCTGGCGATACGATATGTATCACGATACAGGGGCAACACTAACAAGTGTGATCCTAGTCTCAGACTCTGTTCCATCTGAACATCAGGTTAGGAGATTGATACAGGATCAGGAGGAGATGTTGTGATATTTCAGTGTGTCGACATTGTCTTACACGACCAACTACGTTCATTTCTCACACCTTGCTCCTCCAAACATCTGTTCAAAACAGGAATCCTTTCTTTACATTTGACAGCTTCGTTAAGTGAACCTAATAGCTAGCACTCACTGTGGCGCCGTCTCCTCCTGACCCTCAGCGGTGGACGCTGGTGAGCGCTGTAGGAGCGTGGTCACGATGTGACTGTTCAAACACAGCCGACGTGCTGGTGTACAGTTAGGTTAGGAGCTGCAGTGTCAGAGTCAGACCACAAACAAAGAACAGATGGTGAGCCACTCACAGCTGTGTTTGCTGAGCACTGGTCCACTTACCAGCTGGACACCAGCGTCCTGACCCATCACTCAGACCAACCTGGAGCCCTGAGTCAACAGGCTCCACAACAAAAAGGCTTCATTTTTTATTTGAAACCTGATTTACTACAGTTTAATCAAGTCACTGCCTTGATTAAAAAAACAACATCCTGACTTGACGTCACTCAGAAAACAACTAAAGACGGGGTCTTTTCACACCAAGGACCCTCAGGATTTCACACTAACACACTGCTCATTCACGCATTTCTTTGTTTTCCCTCCGCAGGTCACAGCTCCTCACCAGGCTGATGGACCAGAAACAGGACAAGGTCTTGGCGTCAGAACGTCAGCCCACGACGGTCCAACCCTCCACGACGGTCCAACCCTCCACGACGGTCCAACCCTCCTCGACGGTCCAACCCTCCTCGACGGTCCAACCCTCCTCGACGGTCCAACCCTCCACGACGGTCCAACCCTCCTCGACGGTCCAACCCTCCACGACGGTCCAACCCTCCACGACGGTCCAACCCTCCACGACGGTCCAACCCTCCTCGACGGTCCAACCCTCCTCGGCCCCCAGACCCTCCCTGGAATGGCTGTCTGCCCTCCTCAGACGTCCTCCGGCCTCTGGAATGAAAGTTTCCTCCGTTGGCCTAGCATCGCTCACCAAAGCTTCGCATATGACGGGAACGGCAACGAGGGTTCGTCGCCACGCCCACCAAGGTTCACGCGGGGGTCACCATCATCCACACCATGCCCAACTGATGAGAGTGGGCTGTGTTCTGGGAACCTGCCAAGTGCAGAACCTCAGCCACCGGCTCTATCAGCTCATGGGTCAAAACGGCAGAGAGGTCTCGTCCCCCATCAACCCTAAAAGTCCACACAGTTATGGATGAGTTAGACGCCTGCCGAGACCCACAGCAAGTCTATCTCTATCTTCATCTGTCTTTATTTATCTCTTAACGTATTTCTGCTTGTCCCTGCGTCACATTCATTCCCTCCACGACTCTGGTTTCTCTCAGATCTCAGAGTGACAAAAGTTCACCTCCAAACAACAACAGATGACGGTCACAACTGACTTTAAATGTTGTTTTAATCCATGTAGAAAAAAAACATTCAGAAACTTGTCAACGGCCCAACGCTGGTTCTTCTAGCACTGTGAGAACATTTCAAAGAGACTTTGGTCCATTTGGTAATTTATCTCAAAAGGAAAAAAAGAAAAAACCATCTGCGGTCTGGGGTCTTAATCCAGTCCAACTCTGAACACCTTCCAGTGACCTGAACCTGTCTCCCACTGACCTCTGCTGCGGTGGGATTCCCTCCGCTCATTGATCAAACCTGTAAGCTCCTAATGTGGATTTCAACTTGCACTCTGAGCTGGAGCCCTGTCAAAATCAGTGGATTCACAAAGAGGGCGTGGCGGGGCCAAACAAACCCATTTACCTCTGGGCTGTGCCCCACGGTTCTAGGGTCAAACCTGGGACTTGTTTAACTCATCTACCGTGTCACGGCTGCATATTTATTTTTAATTTGAGCGTCGACCCAGAGGACGGATCACGATCATTGATCCGAGTTCACATTCAGGACCCAGCCCCAGTACTTGAGCTAACTGCTGGTTACTGACAGCTGAAATAACAGTAGGTCCAGCATCCAGCACATTGACCGAACCCAAAAGATCAGTTTCACTTTGGCTGATGTATCATGAGAAGGAAGCCGCGGAGCCAGGAGCTCAGCGAGAGGCCGCTCTGAAATATTAGCTCTTTCACGTGATTCATAAGTTCCCACTGCAAGTCAGGACTCTGAGTCCACAGCAGTTTATTAAACCCACTTCAGTCTCTGAAGTCAAGTCTCTCACAGCAGGGGGGGAGTGCGGGGGGTGAGCCCTGAATGGTCTGCACGCTCAACAGGAAAACATAAATATAAAGTACCAGGAACAGGACTTTCACAAATTTGTCACAAAGTTAAGATAACAATTAATCAGCCGTCACATCTAGTCCTGAGGAACATCCTAAATCTGGTTTCCCTCTAAAATCTGGACCGGCCTCAGTGCATTTTTCAGTTCCATCCTCAAAGTCCTCAAAGGTCTTTAAAGTTCCAGACACAAAAATATTCTTATTTTCCATTCTATTATTATTGAAATTCCTTCTCGTACTTCATATCCTGCTCTTTCAGATCTTTAATTATGGGAGGGGTCCGATGTCAGGGGACCAGTTTAACAACGTGGATTCTAAAGTTTTGGTTAAAATTAAAATTCTTCTCATCATTTATTCGTGACCCAGTTTTGACCAAAGATATGCAGCAGAATCTGCAGCCAACTTCTCCACTCAAACCCAGGACGTTGTGCATGAAAATGTTCTTCCAGGTCTTAATCTGTGTTTCTGTTTCTGTTTCTTTTCTTCTTGTCGATGACGTTAGCCTGATCTCTCGTTATCATCTCCCTCACACCGGCCGCCCAACTGTTCCTCTGCCCATCTCTCTGTAATCATAGGAGACCAGAGGTCGCAGGGTAATCCTGGCTGGTTTTCTTAGTCCTCAATCTAATCTGTTCGTAGGCTTGCTAAAGGGAAACATGCCATTCTCTTAGCTGTAATGGAGCTAATCGCTGTCTCATGACCAATCATTAAAAGGCTTCAAATGCTGCAAAATCCTGGTGAATCTCCTTTCTTTTGTACCATGTGCGTATTTTACACCAATCACGTGCTGCGTATTGTTGGACCAGGAGTTTGTATCCTATCAGGACTCTTTATCTTCTGTGTTTGATCTGTGCTCTGGTCCAGTCAGCCACCAGGCTTTTCTTTTCTTTCTGTCTTTTTTTTTTTGTTCTGTTCTGTTTTGTTTTGTTTTAACTCACGTCATGTTTTTATGACGTCGGGCATTGTGTCACGTGAAGTTGTGCGAGCAAACTGTGTACGACCGTGAAATACCTCCCTCTTAGGAAGAACCATGTTCACCATGTGTGGTGGTCTAGTCGGGGACCAGGACCAGCAGCAAGTACAGAGTTCGTTCGTGTTTGTACCACGTAGGAAGCGTTACGGTGTCGTGTCCCATGATCTGCTCCAGAGCCACAGAACGCACTTTAATGCAACGGTGTATTTTTGTACTTTCTCACACACTGAACTCTACTCATTGTACTGAACATAATTGTAAATATTGCATTGAGATGTGTCTGTGGACATGTGTGTGTGTGATCGTGTGTGTGAAAAACCCTCGGCCAATTATTTATATATATTGTATTTAAATTATCTGTGTAAGTTAATATCTGTATGTCACCAAAGACTATTTATCGTCTTCTCTGCTCCTCAAACCCGACCTTTGTTGGAGCAGGAAGTCTTAACTGTAGTTCAAATGTTACTGTCTGACTTTGTCCTTCCCTGTGTAAAATAAAAACTGATATCTTGTAGCGTGATGGAGTAGAGAACCTTATTTTAAAGTACTTTTTGTGTTTGCTGACGTTCATGCAGCCTATGATGATACACTGTTAGCTTCAAGTCTCTGTTCCTGCTGCCACACACTGGTCGTATTGAAACACCTGACCTCACACAAGGTTAATGCATTACATTACTTTTATCATTAGTCCCAGTTATTTAAATGAGCATCGATAGGGTTTAATACACACCAGCGCTACAGCAGCGTATGAGAAGAAAACCTTGATTTAAACTGATGATCCTGGATCAACTGGTCATGTTCAGTTGATCTTGTTCTGACTTTTAGGTCCAGCTCCTCTTAAGAAATCACAAGTTCTGACTCTTTTTCAACTAAAGAAAATTCCATCTTAACGCTTGACTACACTAAGTTGAAACAGAAGTGGAACTGAAACCCTGTACAACAGGTGAAATATAGGGGGCGTGTCACGTATCAGGTCTTACAGCTCGATGTCCTTGACCTTGAGAAGTTAATCATCACATGACAGGAATGAGAACACGATGAAGAGAGGGCTGATGATGTTGAGAAACATATGGTGAGGATGTGACGTGGAAGCGGACGCGTTGCTTTTCACATCACATGAGCAGCGGTGGGTTAATGAGTGACACCGCAGCTTTGGTCATGGTTCATTTAGCAACAAACAGACGACGAAAGACAGGAAGAACCCAGATGATTCCACACAGTTCCAAGTACAAACTTCCACACTCAGCAGAATAAATATGTGCTGTACTTTCTAAAAAAGGAAAATCCAAAAAAGGTCAGAAAGAGTCCTGTTAACTAGGGGTCCTCAAACTCCGGTGCAGGGACCAGTACAGTTCTGTTCATGGGGCGCCCTTCCTAGTTGTAGGGAAACCAGCTCATGAAATCCAACCTTTTTCTCATCTGGTTTGGGACGTAAACACACAACCCCGGGCCTGTAGACCTACTGTAGACCTACTGTAGACCAAGGTCTCAGTGAATGAGAATGAACGTGTACACTGGACTGTGTTGCAACTCTATACAAACACGGAATGTTGAAAGTAAAACCTGGGCTCTGTCCTGATGAAGGTCAGTCCCCACTGACATCAGCAAGGGACAAGTTACTAAAATGACACGGGATGAAATCGATACACGGCCGAGAGGAACGACCTCACATGACACACGCCGAAGGAAATGCCCTGCTCGACAGCCAAACTTTTTAACATCCCACTGTGAAGTTATATCAAAATAGACAGGTCATTTAAATACAGAAGAGTCGACAATAACTAGACACAGGTGGGAGACATTAGGGACGCACCAGGTGATGACGGGGGACAGGAGGTGAGGACCAGAGGTGAGGAGGGTAAAGGTGAAACAGGAACAAGCAGAAAAAGTCTTACCTCCTAATCCTTCTTTGGGTCACCGGGGGGCGCTGCAGCCAATACCAGCAGTCATCAGGTGAGGGCGGAGTCGCACCCTGGACAGTTCTTCAGTCCATCACAGGACCACAGAAGAAGAAAAAACATTTAAAAAACATTCACACCCTGTGACAACAGTTTGTAGCACGGTGGTGTGAGCGTGATCAGAACACAAACACAGACACTGGAACCGTTCTTCAACTTGTTAACTGGTCTACAACGTCATAACATTTACATTCCAACACCCAACAGCACTGAGAGGAGACTGAAGTTCAGACCTGCTCGACCCAAACACATACCTGTGTTTGATATATCTGGAATGCAAAGAATAATTACTCTCGACGTGAGTCACGTTACATGTACTGTATGTCTTTAGGGCCACCGTGGTTGCAATTAAGCTCGAATTATCCAGTTAACTTAACAGTGGTGAACTAACCTTCTCACCTGTGTCTCGTTGATGTCACCATGATTCGGCGCTTGCCGGACGATAAGGTCAGCCCCGCTTCTCTGTAGCCTCTACACCAGTAACACGACACAATAACAATGGCGGAAACCATGTTCCTTCTGAGCGTACTAGAGAAGCTAATTCGCCTAAAGGATGTGGTACTGAGCCATTGAATCTACTCTGGTTAATGTAGTACTGATGCCACGCCTGTAAGTGGCGCTGTGTGAACAACGCTCTGACATGCTGTAGTCATGATGTTCTATACATGATGTAATGAAGCGGTTAACCGTTTTCGGGTATTTCGATTTCTGGTAGTAAGGGGGCGTGGTCAGAGTGATAAGAAGAGAGACGTCAGAGGAGCTGGGATTAAAACATTAGAAAGTTCAGAATGAGTTGTTGCCGTTGGTAAAAAACGAAATAAAGTTTATAAAAAAGCCCCGATAACTGGAGCATTACAATAGTAATACCAAAAGAATTTTAACCGTAAGTTTGGAAAACAAACAACTCGAAAAAGAAACATAAAAAGGCGGAGATGCTAACTGTAGCACACCATATAGCCGATATATCTTCTCCAGTACGGTTTCCGCCATTTTAGTAATTGCGTTGCGTTAATCGGTGTTACTGGGTTGAGAGGCGGGGCTGACCGTATCGTCTCGCTCAGCTCGTTCACACGGGGACAGGAACCGGAGTTTTCACCGCCCTTTTTCGCCCTCGGTGCCTCGATGTATTAACGCGTCACTTCTCCTCTCTTATCTCTGTCAGTTACTAACTGACAGTTAGTAACTGAATCAAGTTCTGAAAACGGGCAGATGGCGATGACGTGGCCTTTTCAAAAGAAAATACCGATGCCGACGGGTGAAAATTAATTAATTAATTACAAAGTTCAGAATGAGTTGTTGCCGTTTGTAAAAAAAAACAACGAAATAAAGTTTATAAAAAGCCCCGATAACTGGAGCATTACAATAGTAATACCGAAAGAATTTTAACCGGAAGTTCGGAAAACAAACAACTCGAAAAGGAAACACAGAAAGGCGCAGATGCTAACTGTAGCACACCAAATAGCGGAATTATTTTCTCCAGCTCGGTTTCCGCCATTTTAGTTATTGCCGTGCTTTAAGCGGTGTTACTGGATTGAGAGGCGGGGCTGACCGTATCGTCTCGCTCAGCTCGTTCACACGGGGACAGGAACTGGAGTTTTCACCGCCCTTTTTCGTCTGTGCCTCGGTGTATTAACGCGTCACTTCTCCTCTCTTATCTCTGTTAGTTTGTAACTGAGTCAAGTTCTGAAAACAGGGGCAGATGGCGATGAAGTGGCCTTTTCAAAATAAAATACCGATACCGACAGGTGAAAATAAATTAATTTAAAAAATTACTCTGTGTGTGGCCCAGTATGTAAAGATCAACAGCCTCTGCCGTTAACCTAGTGTCTTCTATGACGGTTGTATCTTCTGGATAAGCGGTAGATACAAACAGAAGCCACACTGTAGCGTGTCAGTCATCTCCGCTCAGATAGGCTTTTATCACAGTGACTCTGTCAGTTTAAACAACGTGGACGGTACACGCAGTGTTTATCTGTCAGCTGACACCGGTCTGTTACACACAGCGTACTGGGAAAATGGATACTGGATTCAAGGCCTTTGGGTCATCAGGCTAACAACCGTAGGTTTGATAATTCTCCAGTCTGATGACGTCACTGCAGAACCTGAGAAGCCTTTACTGTGAAAAGAAAACATTTCCTTCCACTGTAACACACGGTGAATGGTGTTGTCACACAGGTGAAAAACAGTTCTCCGTCCGGCGTGTTTCGGATCGGTGCCATCATTTCTCAAGGACACAGATTAGAAAGTTCACTTGAGAACAAGAACAGACAGCGGTAAATCTATGACTTTGTGACAGATTCCGATTCCCGATTTTTTTATTTTGACCGATTGCAAAATTGTCTTCAATGCAAATGTTTCTTCTCCTAACAAGTCTTTATGCAACATTTCCCACAAACGCCGACTACAATGAGGTACTAAATGAAAATGGTTCCTGTGCAGTAACTCTGTTCTGTTTAACAATACATTACAACTTCCACGGTCTTTGTGTGGGATTCTTTCTTTTTTATGCGATGTATTGTATCGTATCATATCGTATGGTATTGTGGTTGATTTTATAATCTATCGGGGGATGTGGGGAGGGGGGCGATCCAGGGTGATGTCACTGCACCATTGATCTGTTGGAAAACGCCAGGAAAAAAAATCGTGTCAGAACCTGCGATAATAAACTGGAAACCGTTGAGTGTCGTATCGCTGAATCAGTCGTGACCGACGGTCTGATTCGACTCCTGCCGTCTGTTGACCTGGAACACGTACACCGTACATGTTGATGAGTCAGTGTCTTCGGAGACATCTCTCTGTCCAGCGGGGAGGAGGAGGTGAGTGGGGCGAGGCAGATTCTCCTGGATAATCAACTATAATTGCCCCCAGTTCCTCCCCCACCCCCCACGGCCTGACAACCAGGCTGGAAAAGTCTGCAGAAACACACACACCGTGCCAATCCTGGCACGAGTGACGAATCCACTCGTGAAGGTTCTTGTTCTCTTTTCTCATTAGTGTTGAATGAGCAGAGACGGAGGACGTGCGGTTCTGTAAGTAGCTGTGAAGAAAGGAAACAGTTCATCACTGCACACACACACACGTCACACACGTGTGTGTGTGAACCCACAGCTGAACTGCAGCCACGTAGTAATTTAACAAATACATGGTGGTACAAACGTATACTTTTGTAGGTCAGCTGGTACTCGGAGAATACTGAGGTCCTGATGTTACATAACACCAACATGACACGGAACAGTAGGCTGATGTGTATATATATATATATATATGTAGGCGTGACGGGGTGCCGTACAGAGCAGAGGTGTCAAAGACAATAAAAAAACACAGTTTAAAACACACAAAAATACATCTGAATTCTCTCAGAGTAACCCTGGATTAATTATGAATAATCATGATTAGTCATGACCATAATTTGTCATGATTAGTTGAGGCGAATCAACATTCCTGAAGATGACGTGTTTCCCGTACATTACCTGAACAGACAGACCGGAAATGACAGGTAGGTGTCAGTGTTTCTCACCTGTTTTTATTTGTGACTAATCCTAATGATGGATTAATTGATACAGAAAACCAATCTCAAGGAAAATATATACAGTCAATGTTAAAATAAAATGATGTGGATGGTTGTTGCATTGCAGTGAATTTTAATTAAAAAAATGATGTGGATGGATGTTGCATTGCAGTGAATTTTAATTAAACAGATATAACATAAAGGCTAAGATATGACGTATATGATGTCTTTTTTCAATTATTTTCCACTAAATGGGATCAGCATTTACAGTTCTGTAGTTAACGTTAATTCTACGTTAAATACTTTTACTGCAGAACCAGTGACAATACTTCCAATTCACGTCAAAAAAATTCCATGTCCATACACACATATAGTACTACTACAATACAGTCCGTGTAGAAGAGCCTCAGATAGTACAGATAGTACTGACGGGTACTTCTAATCTCTCAGACAGAAACTCTTCCTCCTCACACTTGGAGGAAAAGGAGAAAAAAACTGTCAACTGTAAGACAAAAATCTCTCTGTCTGACACCATCTGTGTGTGTGTGTGTGTGCGTGTGTTCAGTGTAAAAGTGTCCATTTGTGGAGTCAACGGTTTTGACTAAGCCGTGGAAACTAATCTGTGAGGAGGGCGGAGAAGTCTGCACTTCTTATAACTCAATGGTAAACGTGACTCCTCACCATGCTTCACTCACACACACACACACACACACACACACACACAATAAAACGGCGTCCTCTTCCTGTGACCCATCTGTGGTTCTTCACTCCACTGGATCTGGAGAACAGTGTCGTCTTCTGCCGCAACAATTATGTAAATTCATTAGAACCTTATGTTGAACCTCATGTCTCTGAGGACTAACTGTAACTGCTTCCTCAACCCCTCCTCCCCTCCTCCTCCTCCTCCGCCCTTGGGTGCCAGCTGTGAGTGGCATACGTGCAGTCTAACACAGCCTCTCACCTTCACAGCCGTGTGTGGTGGAGGACTTGATCCAGCGCTGGTCTCACTGCTGATGTGTCCAGATCTGTCTTTTCTCTCCTTCTAATTCCTTTACCTTTTGTCTGGTCCAAGTTAAAGCCTTCAGCCGTCAGGGGAACAAAGGGACCGTCAATAAACTCTCCACTGCACCGAGGGCGTGGTCGCCTCAACGCTCCATCACTGTTTTAGGTGTGTTCAACGGCGGGTTCGTTTTCTACGCCATGTATTGGTGAAACGTGTGTATTGCAGGGACATGACAGAAGTATAATGATAATATAAATAAATTATACCATTTGAAAAAAGTTTGGCAGGCCGGATTAAAAAGCTGAAGGGGCCGCATCTGGCCCCCGGGCCTTAGTTTGCCTGATTTAACCAAACACATCAGAATAACTGTATAATTACAGACACTTTTTAAAGAACCAAGTAGCTGCAGTAAAAAAACACATTCACAGGCGACTTTCCCCTTTTGGCACATTTGAAATCTAGTAAATATATATATATATATTTATATATGGTGTAACGATGTATCGTGAATTGATTAAAAATTGATACTGCGTGACGTTCTCATCGAATCGTGCATCAAATCAAACGTTGCCTTTTTTTTTTAAACCGACAACATACCGTATTCAGGGACAGCAAAGTGACATTTCCTGAACCTGTAATGGCGAGTTCTTGTCGGACAAGCGACGACTTGATGATCACGAGACACTTCAAACTTTCAAACATCAAACCAGGTCAGTTGTAATCCAAGCCTGTGTCACGGGCTCACGTTTCATTCTTCTCTTTATTCGCTGTGAATAAAGGCTGAGCAGGTGCAGAATCAGGAGCAGAGTCTGGAGAATTAGTCACCGTAGAAGAAAGAAGCCATAAAAAAAAGAGTCCCAGCTCGGACACCAGTGCTGCTGCTGCTGCAGGAGACAAAGATAACGTTGGCTGACACAGTTTTTCCTCTAAAAGGCGTTCATGGACTATACTTTTCTTCTTACTTTGTTGCATTTATGTCAAACCTGAGGTTCGCGGGCCAAGTTTGGCCCAGTCAGTTATTGTTATTTGGGTCTATGTATGTTGTGGAACCAAATACACCTTACCAGTTATTGTTATTTGGCTCATCAGAGCTCAGGTCTGGGGTCTGTGTATGTTGTGGAACCAAATACACCTTATTTGCTGAATGTTGTTAGCCATCATTATTATTGTACTGTCTTAACCAGAGTGTCGTCAACCACCTCTGTGGACGACACTCTGTTTACCTCCACTGGACACTTCAGGGTCTGGTCCGGTTTGTTTTTGTTTTTACCAAACTGCGTAAAAGCACTCGGGCTTCGACCTGCTCCTCCCCTGGTATTTGATGGTCCAACGACTTGACAACAACATGTACTTGGACTTTGAGATCATCATGACGCAAGGCGACTGCTGATTCATAGTCACCCCGATCTGCCCCCCCCGCCCCACGACCCACCGTCCCTACATAAGGCGATGGAGTGACATGTTTGTGTGCTGCAGCTAACGGTGCGTTCAAGTACACAAATGTCAGAACTTCCACTGTAAAATATAAAAAACCACTGATCTTTTTTCTTTTTCTCTCACCGTGGCCCCATGAGGGGCCGGCCCCCCACATTGAGAACCACTGGACTAAGGTAGTGGTTATTCGAGAGGTTTTATATACAATCTACAGTTTTATTTCTTATTTTTTCTTATTTATAACAACATGAACGTTGACGACGACTGGATTTGTTTTTTGGTGACATTTAATCTTTTCACATCCAAACCTGTACAGACGGTGGAGTGAAGGAAGTGTCTGTGGTGAAGTGGAAACTGACGGCATCGAACATCTCAGTATTTTCATGTCCTGTCTTGACGTGACTTCTTGCGCAGGGCGCCTTCGTTAGCCTCGATGTGTTTCCTCTTCCCGGACCTCTTCCCTGACGGTTTCAGATGTTTGGCTTCTTCCTCCAGCCGTGGGTTCACGTCCTCACCCGTCTTCTGTCCTCCCCCAGCGTCCTCGGTCGTGTCCACGAGGCCGCTGCTGTCGGGTCTGTCCCAGAACTGACTGCAGCGGTTCGTCTTTTTGCGTTTCCTGTCATCTTCAGCTCTTTCACACGGACTGGATCTTTTCAAGGTCACGACACTCAGCCGCTCTTCATCTTCTTCTTCTTCTTCTTCTTCTTCTTCTTCTTCTTCTCCTCCTCCGTCTTCATCATCAGGATCCACAGAATCTAAAACCGGCTTTTTGACTGGAGTGTATTCCATCGTCTCGTCATCGTTACAGTCAGAGAAGTAGTTGCGAAAGTAGAACTCGATGTCCGATTCATCAGAATCGTCCCACCAGTCCAGTTCTTCTTCCTCTGACAAGTCCCTGGATCGTCCAGGCAGGGCATCATCTTCTTCTTCTTCTACACTCCGACAACCACCACCCTCTCCACTGGGGCCGGCGCCCCCTACTGTCTTGATGCAGAGCTCGATGGTTTCACTCACAGTGCTGTGGCATCTGTCGTCGTGTGGGTCAGGTTCTTCTCCGGTTCCACTGCTGACGCTGCTGTCAGCGCTGTCACTGGGCTCTCCTCTGTCATCAATGACAAGTGGGCGCTCTTCGTCACTGATGACGGCGGGCTGATCGTATTCATCCGCCCCAGGGTCGTGGTCATCCTCCACGATGACGAGGCCGTCATTAGCGTTATCGTCTGGGGAGAAATGGTGGTCTTCTAGAACCAGGACTTCGTTGATGACGTGGAAGTCGTCGTCGTCCACTACGACAACAGGCTCATCGATGATCACATGGACTTCGTTATCGATGGGTTCGTTGCGTTGTAAAAAGTTCATAACCTCCAGATATTCTGCCACTCCCATTCCCCTTGATCAACACTGCATACGAGAAGGTTTTGCGTGATCGTCCAGCTCAGGAGCCTTCTACTGGTCAAAGTCGGCACCTGCAACTGATTCAGACAGTTAGGTCATGACTTGGCTTCATGGGTTAACCCCAAAGACCAAGATATGAGAACCATCTAAAAGAACGTTACTGGCTTGGATCAGTGTTTCTTTTTTTTTACATTAGATCATCATAGAGCATCACTAAAGAAAATGTACCAAAAACTGTACGTCATGATAATGAAAGATCTTCTACTTTCAATTTACTGTGTATGAAACCTGGGCCTGTTCAGTTGAACACATCACTGATATACTCACAGGAACTTCACTTCACTTCACTTCACTGTGTTTATTGACAGCTACTGACTTCTTTGTAGTGGACAACTGCCTCTTTCATTTACTAACTGAGACTAGTACCTTTGATGCCTTTGATGTGTAATATGGAGGAGAGAGATTGCTGCCCCCTTCTGTTTTGGACTGAAACTGCACTACCTTAACTTTAAACGTGTAGCTTGTAACATAACATTTTGAAATGTGAAAATAAAATAAAAAAAGACATATATTTAATTTTTGTTTTCTTTAAAAATACTGTTTTATTTTATGTCTATTTTCTTTCCACTTCACCCAGTTTACAGGTGACTTGTGCTTAGAAAATCATAAAAGAAGAAACATCCAGGTTACATTGTAGTGACAGGCCGTCTCTCAACCTCTGACCTCTGGCTGAATGGTGGTACGTTTCATGAGCGTCAACTGTCCGTGTCAGGTCGATTCAAAGAGAACCTCCCAGAGGGGTCGGGGACAAACCACCTCTCCCACAGATCCAAGTGGACGGCAGGATAGTTCCAAGGTTTAAATGGGCCGTTCCAGTGCAGCAGATGTGCCCCCTGTAGGACACTCTCTGAATAACGGGCATCTGGGCTCCAGCCTGTAAAAACAGTAAGAGGTCAGTCCATGTTTCAACTACAGATGTACGACTGCAATTGTCCTACTGTAGAAAACACAACCCCACCACTGGGACCTGCCCCACACGTTGAGAAACGCTGTATTAAAACATCAGCAAAATGATTTAATAATATTAATAATAAATAAATATTTTCATCTAAATTTATGGTGAACTTTTCAAGCAGCAAACCCGTTTCATCTTTCCTTTTTTTACATCCAGCTCTTTTCTGCCCTCTGCTGGACAACACTCCAAACGCAGTCACTGCTCCAGTTCACAGGTACAAAGCACACTCTGCTCTACTGCTATTATTGAAATGAAACATTTGAACCTACAGTTGAGGTACCACGTAGTTTTCTGACAACTGTTTGAAATTCATGCTCTCACCCAGGTGTCTGATGTGCCACTGGGGGTCAAGTGTGGTGTATTTGTCATGAAACACTATCAGCATGGGGGGGGTCGCCACGCCTCCAGCCATGGCACTGCTGTATATGTTTTGTCTGCAACAGAGAGAGAAAGAAGAAGCATCAGTCCCAGAACTCCCGGTTCTTTGATTCTCCTCCATGTCTTACCTGAAATTCTCCTCCATCCAGTTCTCCAGTTGTTTGGTGATCTTCTGTTTCTTCCACTCACTCATATCTGCCACAAACACCCCAGGGTTGAAGGAGCAGTCTCTGGGGTTGATGCCCAGCTCTCTGACTTCCTGTTTCCTGTAATCCAGAAAGCCCATGTAGGTGGTCTACGGAGTGAGGTCAAGATGAGAAATGTTACTGTTCTGTACATGTCGCTGAACACTGCAGCAGTCAAAAGCAGTTCTATGAAAGAGCGCCACCTGCATGCCGATGCTGCGCACCATCTCGTGTGTGGAGGGCAGGTCACAGTCAGTGGCAAAAGCAGCAGCGTGTCCAGGTTTGAGCTTGATGTCAAACAGGTCCTTGATGTCTCCTAGAAGACGTGGAAATGATTTAGACTCCAATAAATGAACCTCAAAATTCACGATGACACCCACTGCTGTTGGCCGCGTACCTTGGACAATGACATCGTCGTCCAAGTATATCACTCTCTTATGGTCGATGTTAAGCAAAGGTAAGTAGAAGCGCACAAAATTCAGCTGCAAGGTAAAAAGTCAAAGGTTTAGAATTTAAAGTTAGAAACCCGATGGTTGGACCTCTGCTCTCGACAGTGTGTAAAAACCAACACCCACCGGGTGCAGCAGTTCAGGTCGAGAAGAATCTGGCTTGACTTTCCCTCGCAGAACCATGGGGTTAAATTCCAAAATCTTGTACATGATGCCTTTGAGCTGAGACTCTTCAATGTACTGCCTGTGAGGAGGTCAAGGAAACAGATCAGGTGGGAAGAAGTTACCGTATTTTCCGGAATATAAGTCGCACCAGCCAAAAAAATGCACAATGAAAAACATATACAAGTCGGTCCGGAGTATTAGCCGCACCAGTGCCCTCTAGCGGCTGTGAGTGTGAAAATAACAAACATGAAAATGTTCAGTTATACAGCTGAGAGTGCCCTCTGGTGGCTGTCAGTGTGAAAATAACAAACGTGAAATGATACATTTTAACATATAATGATGAAAAAAAGTGCGACTTATAGTCTGGAAAACATGATTTGAGGGTCTTATCTCAAATTGCTTATTTATGGCTAACGTCATATATCTGTGGTATTAGGAACACGTCACTGACAGACACTGGATTTTCACTCTGTTTGTAAAGAGTGTTTATATCCTGGGTTTATTGCATCACCTGACCTGATCAGTTTCACCGCATCGCGAAAGGTAACAATATAGAAGAACACTCTGGCGTGTGTGTTGCTGTGGATGCTGTTGATGGTTGCCATGGTTCCACCCATACGCTCCTCTGAAGCACAGATGACCACCGGGATGACGGCGTCGACCTGTGACTCCATCACTGCTGGACCTCCAGCTGCTGCTCCTCCACTTTTCCAGTGATCTAAAAACAGTATGTTAGCAGCAGATGAGCTACAACCGTCGGTTGTAGCTTTGCTGTCCAAAAGTAATATGTTTGAAAACAACGTCCTGGGTACAATGAGAATCTCTGCTCATTCATTTCTTACTCATTTTATAATTACTGTATTTTCCCGACTATAAGTCGGTCCGGAGTACAAGTCGCATCAGTGAAAAAAATGTATAATGAAGAAAAAAAACATATATAAGTCGCTCTGGAATATAAATGAACTAGAGTGCCCTCTAGCGGCTGTCAGTGTGAAAATAACAAACATGTGAAGTTATATATTTTAATATATAAGTCACACCTGAGTAGTCATAAACCCAGACAAGGGATGAACAAAAATGCGACTTATATTCTGGAAAATACGGTAGTCCTTACAACAACCTGTGTGAGGTCACAGCTTTACTGTTAGCAACATCCTTCAATAAAGCGGCCAACGAACCTTTATAAGTGTAAATGAACACTACAGTGATATAAGATAAAATATCAAACGTGGTGTTTGTACCTGACAGTTTGGACCGAGTCCTGGTTCTAAACAGTACGTTGTGCACAAGCAGAAAGAGCAGCAGCAGCAGCAGCAGCAACAGGCCGTGGTTGACTGAAACACAGAAAAGACCCAAAGGAACTGAAGGAACTGGGACATACTTTTGTGATGATTGATCATTAGCAGGTTGGTGCTACTGTCATTGTTATTATTTTAATAACCGTAAAGGCCACTTCTTTTCAAATATATAAGAAAATATTCAACAATTGTCAAAATGTTCTGCATTCATGGCTTTTCGTGTTTTAAGCAGAAAACAGAACGAAGGTAAAGTGTCACAGAATAACTCATTGTTAGAGATTAAATTAATCCACTGATCACTGGGTGGAATCTGTTGGTTTTGTCAGCATAACCGGTTCTGACTGGTTCAAACCGTGTTGTGCTATTGGTTTTGTCAGCATAACCGGCTCTGACTGGTTCAAACCGTGTTGTGCTACGTTAGCAACAAGCTAACCCCGGCGAAGCAATTAGTTTTACAAACGACACAAGTTGTAAAAAGTTGTAAAATGTCCTCTGTGTGCACTATTAATGTCCAAACGGTAAAATTAACACTACTTAACTGGGTCATTTTGTTTTATTTATCATTTTTCTGTCTACGTTCCACAGGAGTTCGTCTAACTCTTCAGTTTTACCGGCATCAGTATAGATTTGTCTTCCTTGCTGTTGTATTTAATTGGATAGCACCACTTCTGTTCTGCTTCTCTACCGCCCCCTTCGATAGCTCAGTTGGTAGAGCGGAGGACTGTAGTGGTCAATGACTGATATCCTTAGGTCGCTGGTTCAAATCCGGCTCGAAGGAGATAACTTTTTTTTCTCTACCATGGCACGAATTACGATCTTATCATAAAGTTATTTTAGTGCACGATGATGATTGTTGTTTTTTTCTTTTATTTCAGCAAAAACATTTCTTAAAAAACAAAACCCACTACCTTTCTTCATGTTTGTTTAATAAAAATCCCACTACCTTTCTTCATGTTTGTTTAACTTTGTTGTTTCTGATTTAAAAACAAGTCAAGACGGACATGATAAACAAGTTCCTGGTCTTAGGTTAACTGTTTCCTCCCTAGACTTTAAACCAGTTAACTAGTTTTCACTTACTCTTTTTGAGAAAAGCCATGTTTCATGATTGTTTCTGGAAGTGTCTGTGAATGAGGGAGAGAGAGAGAGAGAGAGAGAGAGAGTGATATTCTTCAGTTATACTTTTGTACATTTTTTGTGATTTTTTTCCATATTAATAATTCCATCATTTGAATAAGAAACAAATATAGACAGATCATCATAGAACTGCCATCCCTCTGTTACTGCAATTAACATATATGTCATTCTTCTTTCATTTTTAGGACTGGTATCTGGATTAATCATGATGCATTGTTTTTACATTTTGATTGAAAAAAAAAATCATTTGATCACGCTTTAAGTTCTACCAAAAAAACAATAAAATCCTCTTCACTCGACTCATCCTTGTCCTAATCCTTTCTGCTGGACAACACGTGGCTGCAGTGGCTCCAAAACCTTACATGGCATCTTCTCCTCCTGATGCCAGGGATTTCTTCAGGAATTTTCCCCTGAGGCAGTTGAACTTTTTACACAACGGCAAAAAGATACAAAAAGAACTGCTGGACAAGAAAAAAAAAACCACAACCACATTGCTGTGATGTCCTCCTTTACCTTTATCTCTTTCTCACACACACACACACACACTGTAATCATCATGTATGGATCAGCCTCAGGGTCGACCGTGAGCAGAGTTCTTATCGGACCACATGTGTCATTCGTCCACATCAGTGTTTTACTGCAGACTCCAAGAGAACGTTTACTGCTGACTTTGTTTGTGACTGTTCTGAACTGTCTACCACATCTGGAAGTGATTGGCTGCAACAGCCCTTTTACCACGGGGCTGAACATGATGCCTAACATCCTGGGTCTGACCCACGTCTTAACGGCTGATGAGCTAGTCGAGTTAAATTAAAGTAAGCTGGCCCCTCATAAACTCTGTCAGAGCTCCATAAACGTCTGTGAGCTGCTGTAAATACGTCTTTTATATTTGACATCATTTTAATGGGTGAAGTTTAGGCAAAAAAACTCTTCTTTGTTTTTATATATATAAAAAAGTTTTCTGTAATGGTACTTTTTTTTAAAAGATAAGGATCAGGACATTGTCTGGGTGGATATTGTTTTTCATAAAAACCAAGTCTTAAAAAAGGATTTTTTTTTCTTTTACATTAATAAAAAACACGATGTTCACAGTGCATTAGCAGATGAATCAGACTTCTCTGTGTTTACCGTAACTCTTGTCACCAAAAGAAAAAACAAACTTATTTCAACATACCAAAGGATGATAAATTTGACTTTGGACTGGATTAAATGTTACTTTCAGGACCAATAAATTTGACTGGATTAAATGTTACTTTCAGGACCTTTCCCAAAATCATTGGTTCGTTCATCTGTTGTGATGCTTTTCTTTCCTTTTGCTTTATTCCTTTTTTTGCAAGTTGCACTAAACATCATGATTACAATTGTTTATTAGAAGAAACTACACCCAGGGAACACAAATCCAGTCAAATCCAGATGCTGCATACTGAAGCCAGACTCAGACATGAAACATCGTTGTCATGCAACACACGAAACCCGTGGCACTCACCAGACGGAACCCAAAGACTGGTCTCACTCTTGGCTCTCACTCCTGGTGTTTATGGTCCATGTTGTGAAGACTGTGGTTCACATTTGCCAAGTGTTCCACTTTCCTTCTTTCCCACCCCCCTCCGTCTCCATCCTCCCTCCAGATGTAGCCCAGCTCTGATCCTCCCACCTCTGCTCCCAGTCCTGTAGCCGTGAACACGACCACAGCTGCAACTGTGACACGAAAACCCAACAAAGAAAGAAGGATCGTATGTTCAGACGCAGAAACACACAACACATTTTGTTGGCATCACCCTCTCTGATGCTGGGATGGGGCCAACCTAAAGCCGTGCACTTTTCCCTCTTCAAGCTGAAAGCATGCTGGATGTTCCAGCAGCTGGACAAACCCCCTCCTTCTCCTGGGTGTGTTTGTTCCACACCAGTGCTCCCCAAACAAGATTTATGAATACATGCACCAGTGACAGGGTGTGTGTGCACGGATAGATCATACATTTACACATATAATGTAAATATAATTATGATTATATATAATGCACTTTTCTTTAGAACTCTCTGTATTTTATTTTTGCAAATTCTCTTTTTGGTGGCACTTTCATCCCTTCCTCCTGTTCCTCCAGAGAAGCTACATTTGAAGTAAGTTTGAAGTCAAGTACTTGAAGGAGTATTCATTTTCAATGTAAAATACCATGCAAACTAAGAAAAATGAAAAACAACACAGAAAAAAACCCAAAAAAACTTTGCTTTTGATTGAATTACATTATATGACCAAGAGAAGGCGCTGCCATCACATAAAACACACATGTGGTCAAGTTTAAATACGACTACTTACCTATTGTCTGACACGTAGACCACCCAGGAAGTTAGTGCTCTTAAAAGTAATAGAATTCCTCCTTTCTATCGACTTCCTTCGATAGCTCAGTTGGTAGAGCGGAGGACTGTAGAGGCAAATGCTGATATCCTTAGGTCGCTGGTTCAAATCCGGCTCGAAGGAAATTTTTTTTCGTTTTGAGGACACTAAATAAAAAAAAAAAGTTGCTTTGTTGGATATTTTTATACATAGTTGATAAACACGTTTGTGCGCTTGGTTGTTTAAATACATTGTTGAAACAGTGAGAAGGCTGATGAGAAGTATAAGTGTTGAAACCGTTAATATTTGTCGAACATACAAAACTATTCCGGAGTAAACTTTGTTAATGTTGTTTCTAAATTACCATGCCTTCATTGGTCATTTCTTGCAAAATATAAAAAAAATCAACCTCTTTTTCAAGAAATGGTTTATGTATAGTATTACTTTAAGAAACTGAAATCAAATGACGTGACCAGTCACTGCGCTGATCACGGCGCAAGGTTTTTGTTGGTCATCTTGTTTCTCTCCGTTGCACGCATTTGAAAACAACCATTTGAGTTCTCGGGAACCCAGTGAATATTTTGACAAAATAATGACTTTGATCAGTCACTTTATGAATTAGACGAGTCCATGTCCATATAACTTCCACCATGGTGGAAAATACAGAGAAAATGTTGGTCCGCCTGACTCAGGACGGACAGCTGAGTGCCTTGGAGAAGCTGCTGAGCTCAGGCGAGGACTCGGCGGCGACTGACCGTCTCAGGAGCCAACACTTTGGCCGCTCGGGAGACACTTTACTGCATTACGCAGCTAGACACGGCCACCTGGACGTGGTTAATTATCTGGTAAAGCGTGTCGGTGTGGATGTGGAAGTGTACAACAACGACTACAAGAGGCCGCTGCACGAAGCTGCATCCATGGGTCACCTAGCATGTGTAAGCTATCTGCTATCAGAAGGAGCCAAAGTAGACTGTCTGAAGAAAGCTGATTGGTAAGAGGGCGAGCTCACGAACCGGTTTTAAAAATGTTTATCTCTTATCACCGTAGCGCAACTTCATGTACGAAATGTGACAGTCTTGATTTCATCTCCTTCGATAGCTCAGTTGGTAGAGCGGAGGACTGTAGTGGTCAATGACTGATATCCTTAGGTCGCTGGTTCAAATCCGGCTCGAAGGAATTTTTTTTGTTTCCCCAAAAAATTATATATTACCTACTCAAACATTAAGTCGAATATTTTTTGACTATTCGTTACAAATACGTTTCTCTAAATAATCTTAAGGCTAATATTTAATCAAGATACATATAATTCATCAATTTTATCTGCTTTGCTGTTTCTAGGGATAATAAAACACTTAATCTGGTCTTATAAAGGTTTTTTTATAAAGAGAAGCATTTGCCAAATATTTAGAATCTATTAGTCCGTTAGTTCTTTTGGTGTGAGTTATTTCTGTGTCTAGTTGTTTTCATTCTAAGTTATTTTGTTGTTTTGTTTACCGTCAACTCTCAGGACTCCTCTGATGATGGCCTCCACCCGGAGGAACATCGATGTGATTCAGGAGCTCCTGTGTCACGGCGCCGACCCATCCCTCAGAAACAAGGATGGCTGGAACTCTTTCCACATCAGCTGCAGGGAAGGAGATCCAGTGGTAGTGAAGCACCTCCTTCATGCATCTCCAGATGTCTGGAGGACAAAGAGTAAGACAGGCAGGACGCCGCTGCACACTGCAGGTGAAGTTTGCTGTGTTGTCAAAGATTTAACGTACATCATTCAAAGAAAATATTAAACTCCACTCTCTCGCTTTTCCACACCCAGCGATGCATGGCTGTGAGGAGGTGGTGAAGATCTTGCTGCAGGCGTAAGTATTTGAGCTATTTTGACCTGTTAAATTTTGAATAAACTCTTTTCTGTTAAACATGTTTAACTGAACAGGTTCGGCCTGTGCTGCTGCGGCTGCTACTTTAAAATTCCAAACAAATTTCTCTGATATTCAGTAGCTTTGGCTGAAAGTCTACTTATTTGTTTCATACTAGTTACTCATTTGGTTGCAGGTGTTCATGAGAGGCTTAGTGTGTGTCATCATTTCATTAAAATGTCAAAAAAAAAAAACTGAACTGCTTTTTTTTTAAGCTCATGAGCTCCATGTGATTGATCTGTCTCTTTTTTAGGTGTGAATACAGCCCAGACACTAGAGACAGCTGCGGCGTCACTCCGTTAATGGACGCTGTCAGAAACGGACATGTCTCTGTGGCCAGGCTGCTGTTAGAACGCCACCAGGTGGAGTGGATTCACACGAAACGCCCAGATCGTTACTGATATAAAACTTGTCTTCGTTTGCCGTCCCAACCAGACGAGAGTCCGTTTGTGTCCGTGTGTTCTGCAGGCATCTCCAACAGCGCACGATAAACTCGGGGCTCATCTGGTGCACCAGGTCGCTGTCACTGGTCAGGAGGAGGCGCTGCGTTTTCTAGTGCAGGACCTGAACGTAGACATAAACCAGAGAGCAACTGACCTCCAGCTGACGGCCCTTCACTACGCTGCCAAGGTTGGACCAGTCAACCAGTCAGATCTGCTTTTTAATGAGTATTACTTCCTTGGGACACGGACTGAGGGTTAATCCAGACTATTATCAAGTTAATTTCATCGTCATATTAGCACATTAAATTGTATGCATCGTGTTTTTTAAACAGGAAGCAGAAGCTGCTGTCTTCACTCAGTAGTTCAGATATAAACATGTCCAATGAATTGGACAGATCAGTTCAGTAGTACAGAAGCCCATACTATCTATCAGAGATTGTGGCACAGATTGTGAAAATTAACTTTTTTCTGTTTTGTTTTTCAGGAGGGCCACGTGTCTACTATTCAAACGCTGGTCAAACTGGGAGCTGATGTTCAAGCTTATGACAGAAAGAGAAGAAGTGGTAGGACCGTCATGTCACTAAATGTTCAAATATGGTTCAGTATGGATCGTAGTTGCTAACGTAACTTCCCAACTGTCTGTACCTTCATTTAAAAATTTAAATAGTTTTGGGGTTTTTTACCTTTGTTTTCTTTTTTATTCGAGATTCTCTTGAATGGAGGTTGGAGTTGTATCTAATTGAAATCATTCATTTTCAGTCATCATTTTATTCATGCACGGTATCTCTGTCATACAAAATGTTTTTTTTTTCAGCTCTTCACATGGCCAGCATCGGTCAACACGCAGCAGCAGTGAGGATCCTTCTGGAACTTGGACTCAGAGACTCGGAGGATGCCTCGGGAACGAGTGCACGGCAGCTGGCTAGGAAACAAGACGTGATAAAAGTGTTTCAAAGCGGTTCGACAGATCTGTCCTAGAAGATGATGTGATGGTAGAAATATACAGAAAAGAATCAAAATAAAAAAATATTTATCCACAACTGTGAGTTATGTTATTTAATAATAAATAATAAAAAGCAGCTGCCTACTTTGGCTTAATTGATTGATTGATTGATTATTTGGTCTATACTGATAATGTGGAAAAGAAAGGATGAGAGAATGGTTTTCAAACCTCAAAATGATAAAGTGTTGTTTGTTTTGTCCACAAACCATCAAAACCACTTCACTGTCCATCCAGTCACATTCTCTGAATAATAATAATAATATACTGGTCTATTTCGCGTTTAACTGGTCTCTACCTCATGACGGCAGTTGTTAATTCATTAATTTATTGTCATTTAGTCAGTCAACCTCTACTAATCAATCATTTCAGGGTTAAAGGTTGAGCTGAGATCATTTTTTGTTTTAAATTCTTTAATTGTCTTCTCAAAAACAGTAGAAAAAGGTGTACAGCACCACACAAAAATGGAACGTCTCTTTGTTGCTTTTCGTGACTCTTGACGATTTACCACAAACACCACACTTAAGAGCGGACATTCTTGGGGTTGCAAAAATATCACATTTCTTTAGCTGTCACTCACGCCGCTAGCGCCTCCCCCTTCATATAGACAGCCCAGAGGCCACGCCCACCGAGGCGCTTGACGTTCAACCGCAGCCCCCTCTCATTTCCACTTACGCTGGTCTCCATTTTCTCAACCCGATACTGAGGAGTAAAGGCAGGAAGATTTATAAAAATGAATGAAGAATACGACGTGATCGTCTTGGGCACCGGCCTGACTGTGAGTACGACTCTAACGGAGCTTTACCGAGACGTTGAACTGATCCTCAACCTGTTGACGGCTGCAGTTAGAACGTGAGACTGGGTTCACTGTTGACTGGGCCTCATTAGCTGGACTAGCCGCTGATTAGCTAGCTTAGCGCCAGGACGCTGTTTACCGGATAGTTACAGCGTTTCTTTGCGCTAGTTGTAGCTTCAATTTAATTATGTTTTTTAAAAACAACACCCTATGTTAATTTATGTAACAAGACCTACGTTGAAACTCGGTTGTCTACTGTCAGACTAGTGTCTGCTCATTCGTCCGGCAGGCGGCCCACTGACTTAACTTTGTCGGGGGAAGTTGAGACGTTTGTCTGGAGCAGATTATACTGCGGATTCTCAGCCCGTTGCTGTTAACGCAGCTAAACGAGGTCAACGTTTAGTTCGAAACCGTAGTGTTCGCGTGCACTTCCTGCACTTTGGTCCTAACTCGGCCCCTCGTTTGGGCTGGCGGTTTAAATTACTTCACTGAAAAGGTTTTAGGTGAGTTTTTTTCTAAACTCAATCAAGGAGTCTGTGATTTTAGCATAGCTCGCTAACGAGTAGTCCAAAGTTTTATCCTTCATCTGATCCCTGTTCTTAAGGCCGGGTGTGTCTGATCCGGGAGTCATTAAAAAAAAGTGCCGCTGTATATGTTGGTGAATTAAGCTAAATTAAGATGTTCGTACATCCGGAAATCAACTTTAGCAGCGTTATCCACGTCACAGCCCGTGGAGCTGAAGCTGTGTCCGGTGACAGGCCTCTCCCGACTGTCAGCTCGCCACGGCTCTGGCATGTCGTGGAAACCCCGTGACGCCTTTCAAGCCAAGGAGCAGCTTCCTGTCAACTCCATGGCTTAAAGTTCCACGAACTCTTTAATGTTCTTTACGCAACAGTTCCAGTACAAGTGACACCACGCGGTGGCAGCACAACCCAGGACATTTGAATAGTGTTTCATAACAAAAAGAAACCGTTTAATAGAGAATATGGGGAGTAAAGTTGCCAAAGTTCAGTGGATGCTGCTGTTGTTGTCGCTCACAAACGGGTGTGGTTGAAAACAAGACTCGGAACTGAGAGTAGCTATTAAGGAAGAAGTATGCGGAATACGAATCAGCTAGGAAATCCACTTTGTAGTGTTGTTAAAATAAGTTCCCCTTCGTACAAACGGACTCCACTGCGTCTGATTGGTTACTGTGTGTCAGACTTACTGCAGGAAGTGGTGTTAATTGGGAAGTACAAGATGTACAAGATTTAATCGACTTTGAAGATTACTCATTAGGAAAGTAGCTGTGGGCGTAGTCAATAAAATATTTCATACACGTGTCTACTGCACTCTATTAATATCTGCTCACTTTGCACATCATCTGTGTGTGTGCAACAACCTTGTGGACCAGTGAGTCCCAACCACTGTGTCGTGGCCCACTAGTGTGCCGTGAGAGATTGTTAGAAATGATCCAGTTTCACTTAATTGGGCTGAAAACTGTTATTTATTTATTGCATATTTATTTATTGCATTGTCTTTGCTCGTCAGAGCATGAACTGCAGAACAATTAAATCCTCTTCTGCTAGGTGGCAGCAGATGGCTATGAAAACTAAAAAAAAAAGTGATAATCAGAGCTGTTGAAGAAGATCCTCGTGAGTGTCTTTCTTCAATTCCTGCCAGTGTATCGGCCTTGTCTTCAACTTAACGGGCTGAGATTTTAGTCAGTTATGACCGACTCAACGTGGCTCAAAAAACGTTGGGGAAACAACAGTAGACAGATCGTAATGATGACCACTGTTGCTTTTGCTGCATGAATTATTGTGAAACATAAGTGAAATATTTCTATGATGCTGTCCTTTCACAGAGTAGTCAAACAGTAAGTTTATTATTAGGCTGAGTTATTTTTGTGAAACTTGTCATTTTCAAACCTAATCTTGTAAAATGATTGTAAGATTCCATAACTGGTGTTTCAAACACAGCAATGTTTTGTCATTTAACAAGACAGTCACATGACCTGCATATAAAACCGAATGCTATAAAGCCTGTAGAATAGTACGAGTAATTGGAATATGTCCATAAAAGTCCTGTCAACTTTGCTGTTTTCCACTTGAACAATTTTATAAGAGTAAAGGTTAAACTAAACTCTCAGTTGGTCCAGTCCAATAAAGTTCTGTTCTGGACTTTGTCCTCTGTCTGTGGTTATTATGGGCTGTATGTGTGTTAAAAATTGAACAGAGTTAATATCTCTGTTAGCTTATATATACGTGTGTTTTTTGTTTTGCAGCCTGAATATAATAATCACTTTGTTTTCTTACGTCGTCATGCGAGGAGGTACTGAGCCAGCGACCAGCGACTGTACGTCACAGGCTGTAATTCTGTTAGCAGCTCATCAACACCAGTCACATGGGAAAGAAATAAAACAGTGACACTACCTTTGGACTCACTAGAGAACAAAGAAAAGAAAATGAACCGAAAGCGAAGGCTGATGTTTGAGAAACGAGTTTGGCTGCACGTTCGTCAGAGTGTGAGATATTCCACAAGGAATGTGAAGTAATACATGGAAAGTTTTAAAGGTCACCCTTTCTGTGGCAGAGTTGTTTTCATCTACAAAAAAGACGAACAAAGACAAAGTGAGCGTCTGTTGATGGACGTCTCCAGACTTTATAGTTGTGTTGTGTGGCGTTCATAAGTCGTGCTACATTTTGGCTGGGATTAAAAATATCATGTAAAACGTGGTGAAATGATTGTCTGATGATTGTGTTGTCACCCCTCTTCCCCCTCACCCCCTTAGGAATGCATTTTATCAGGCATCATGTCGGTGAAGGGGAAGAAAGTCCTGCACATGGATCGCAACTCCTACTACGGAGGCGAGAGTGCTTCCATCACGCCACTGGAAGACGTAAGCTGACGTTTAAAACCTTCTTCTCTGACAGAATCCAGCCTGAAACCTCAGCCTCACTCCAAGGAACCAAAGAAAAGATTTGCCTGAATAGAATAGAATCCTAGCTGACGTCACAGTGTCGTGTTGTGTGGATGTGTAGACCTACAGTCTGAACCGTCGCCATGGAAACAGTCACCCAGAACAACATTCACTCAGTAAAACCTGAAACTGAAGTTGGAGCTGTGCCTCCGTAGTCGTGTCGTGTGAAATTGATAGAATTGATCATAAATGTGGCCACGAATGTTTGGATGATGGTTTTCACCTGTGTCGTCTGACTTTTGTTTTTAATTGCACCACTGTTTACCTCTGTGGGTGTGACTCCAGGACACGGCCAGCTGCTGTTTGTTCAGTCATTACCTCAGCTCTGATCCACACCTTCATATCATCATTATATACTGTAGTATTTAAATACTGTAGTATTGTTATAGCAAAATTCTGTCATCCAGAATTTGTACGTTTAACCTGTGAGTCGACCTGAGCAGTAGAGCCTACAGTAATACATTTAAATTTACCGTTTCCTGTTATTTTTACTTTTGAATTAATTGGTTGTGTATGAATTTAATTCTTATCCACAGAAATATATAACTCTGAACTGAAGTTCCGTGATGTGGGATCAGTCTAGTCAGTAAATCTGACGTGGTCACCTCAATGTAACGGGCAGTGTTTCCTGACACCTTTAGTGCGGCCCATTTAACTGGTCTCCAGTGGCCCATATGCGGCCCAGACACGACCACAGAGTGGGCCGCTCTGTGATAGAAAAGCGGAGGTAAACAAAGAGAGTCGCTGTCGTTGGAAACAGAAACGTCTTCAGTAGAACAGACCGGACCACTCTCCGTAGCCTAGCAACCTGCAACCCACAATGCATCATTTACATTTGTAAAAGTGTTGGTTTACTTTACAGCAACATGACCCTCTGAAAGCAGTCCATCCTGCTGCTCTACAGGGGGCGCCAAACCACTTAACAGGATCAGTGTTCAAATATGAAGTGATGAGTCTGGTCTGCAGCCCACTGATGAGACCGACTGTTTCTCCCCCTGCAGGTTTACAAACGCTTCAACTTACCTGGCAGCCCACCTAACACCATGGGAAAAGGTCGGGACTGGAACGTGGACCTCGTCCCAAAATTCCTAATGGCCAACGGTAACGGAGAGGAATTCATTTTGACACAAAATCGGTCAAAAATCGATACAAATGCATGACAATTCTCATTGGTCGAAATAAGTTCTGACAGAAAGGATAAGTGGATTTGGTCGCAGTTTGTCTGGAGCTGATTTTGTTTTAAAAAAAAGAGTGATTAAAATTGTATCATCATCAGCAAAAAAATAAATAAAATTGTGATTCACATTGTATCGTGACGTCCCTGATAACGCCGTCCTCCTCAGGTCAGCTGGTCCGCATGCTGCTCATCACACAGGTGACTCGTTACCTGGACTTCAAAGTGGTTGAAGGCAGCTACGTTTACAAAGGCGGAAAAATCTACAAGGTTCCCTCCACGGATAAGGAGGCGCTGGCGTCCAGTGAGTCGTTAATGAATGATGAAGGAACCGGTGAAATGTTTGGATGAATGTATACAGTATATAATATTTGTTTTGTGTGTGTGTGTGTGTGTGTGTGTGTGTGTGTGTTGCAGGCCTGATGGGACTGTTTGAGAAACGGCGCTTTAAAAATTTCCTGGTTTATGTCGCCGACTTTGACGAGAACGACCCCAAAACCCTGAGTGGCGTGGACCCCCACAAGATGACGATGAGAGACCTTTTCAAAAAGTTTGGCCTGGACGAGAACACCGTGGACTTCACAGGACATTCTCTCGCCCTGTACCGCACCGACGAGTCAGTGGACCGAGGAGACGATTTCATTTTATCTGTTTGTCTTTATGTGAAGGTGAGGTCTTGACAGGAAGTCTTGTTTTTTCTTTTTTTTTTCAGATACCTGGACGAGCCCTGCATCACCACAATAAACAGGATAAAGCTCTACAGTGAGTCCTTGGCCAGATACGGCAAGAGTCCGTACCTGTACCCGCTCTATGGTCTGGGAGAACTGCCCCAAGGCTTCGCCAGGTGAACCCACCATTAGATCAGATCACGGTGACGGCGTCGTATCTCGGTGTTCGTCGCTGCGTTCACGTTTCATCATTTCATTCAGTTATCATTGAAAAGTACCAAACGACTTTGTTGTGATATTTGGGGGTAACGTTTACCTATTGTTTCGTCTTTCAGGCTTAGCGCCATCTATGGGGGGACCTATATGTTGAATAAGCCCATTGAAGAAATAGTGATGGAGAATGGAAAGGTGGTGGGAGTTAAATCTGAAGGAGAGGTAAGGACCTAGTCTGCGGGTGAGGGGGACGGGGGGCTGCAGTTCTGCTTATACCAGAACTGGTACAGAGCCACAGCGCCCTCTGGTGCCAGATTATTTCCTCTGTTGTCATGTCTCCATGAGTCGATGCTGTTTGAGCCTCAGTTTGTTTGTTTGTTTGTTCGTTCACAGATCGCCAGGTGCAAACAGCTGATCTGTGACCCTTCTTATATAACGGATCATGTCAAGAAGGTGGGCAAAGTGATCAGGGCCATCTGCCTCCTAAATCACCCCATCGCCAACACCGGTGACTCCAACTCTTGCCAAATCATCATCCCTCAGAATCAGGTCAAGAGAAAGCACGGTGAGCCCAGAGGGGACGTGAACACTTCTTATCCAAGAACATTCATGACCCGGTCTGACCCGGTCTGACCCGTTCTGACCCGGTCCGACCCGGTCCGACTTGTGCCTTATTATCAAGCAAGAATTTTAATAACAAAAACCAAATCTTTTTTCTGTTTTGTTCCCCAACACAGACATCTACGTGTGCATGATTTCCTTTGCTCACAACGTAGCAGCAGAAGGTAAATACATCGCCATCGCCAGCACCACGGTGGAGACGAATGACCCCGAGAGTGAGATCAAACCAGCCCTGGACCTGCTGCTGCCCATCGAGCAGAAGTTCATCAGCATCAGCGACCTGTATGAGCCCACCGACACCGGCACTGACAGCCAGGTAAACTGACGGTGATGGAGACAGACAGGAAGTTCCTCCATGCGCTCACCGTGACCCACAACGTGTATTCATTTATTTCTCTCCCTCTAGATTTTCATCTCGCGCTCCTACGACGCCACCACCCACTTTGAGACCACCTGCGATGACATCAAGGACATCTATCGCAGAATGACAGGCACAGACTTTGACTTTGCTGAGATGGAGCGCAAGAAGCAGGACATCTTTGGCGACGCTGCCGAGTAGAAGCCCCGCCCCCCCGCTTTCACCTCCCCACATCAAAGATAGAGCTGCTGATAATGGAAATCTTACAAAAAAAAAAAAATTATAGAAAACTTAACAGGATATGTGCGCATCAAAGGGCTGGCTGGTCTTTGATGTCAGCCCTCTGAGGAGAATCAAAGGCTAATGTAGTACTGTTGACGTGGTTCAGGGAGAATCGTCCTCATTTCATCCAGGAAAGATGTTTAGTTCAAGGATGCCAAATAAAATCAGTCATTATCAGTAGTGTTTTTTAGAGTGGATGTTTATATTGTCATTGTGTTCACGGTCGGTTGGAGAAGAGAAGAAAAAAAAATGTTGCTCTTTTCGGTGTGATGAAAGTGGTGGTTGTTTTTGTCAGTGATGGTGAAACGGTGTCAGTCGCTGTGTTATTATGACGTGAGCACAGGAGCGACCGAGGACACACGGGCAGAACAAATCTGAAACAAAAAAAAATCTGATCTGAGATTCTCTGAAATCATTTGGTCCCCCCCCCCCCCCCCCCCCC